CATGACTTTCTTTGAGAGATTCCTTTTTAAGAAAGAGTAGAGAAGTATGAATCTCTTTGCACTTGGCACCACACAATACCCTTGTTGCAATCCTTCATTTGTCACCTACACCCCATAACATATCATATTATATAAAGTATATAAACACTATAAACATAACTTTAAATTGAAAACTCGTAAAATATAGTGAAAATAAAGAGAATATTTTTGCTTACTCTTGTCCTTCCATCATCTACATCAATGTACACTGGAGTAGTTTGGAATGATAAGCGTGCAAGATCCTCAACCTGAGAAACAAGTATATAAACAAATAAGATACAAATAGCTAGAGTTTTTAAGGTACAATGTTTGTAATAGAAAAAAGTTAGAAAATTTATTACAATTGTGAAGAAAAGACTAAAGAGGTGTACCTTTTTTGTCTGAGTTGCAGAAAAGAGAGCAGTTTGCCTTGTCTGCACATTACAGAGAACAGAGTTCAGTTCACTAATGATACAAAAGCTAACTACCACAAGGGTAATATAGTCAGTTAATATGAATCAAAACACATTAAAGAAATAACAACATACTTTCTTGCATTTCTTATTAAAAAAAACAATATGGTGCAAACTACAGAGAAACATACCTTGGGTAAGATTTTAATTATCTGCTTCATTTCCTCTTCAAAGTTTGCTTCCAATATTCTGTCAGCTTCATCAATCACAAAGCACTGCAAATCCAAAATTTGATTAAAAAATCCAATTGGCAATTTAGAGACTTTTCCCCATGAAGCACTTGCTTTTTAAAAATTTGCTTTGTCCTTCAATTTCCTCAAGTATCAGTTAATGTGAAGAAAACAAGATGAAGTGAAAAAGGTAATACCTTTAGGTTCTTAAAAATAAAGCCTTTTGTATTCTGAAGATGATCAAGAAGTCTTCCAGGGGTAGCTACCAATAAATTTACTCCTTTCACAAGACGCTCAGACTCTGTTCTTCTTCCTGCACCACCCATAACTAATCCAACAGTCTGTGAATGATACTTGAGAAGATCCTTTGCAACTGTATGAGTCTGTAAGAAAAAAGACAAGATCACAGAGTCATGTTAAATTCAACTTCTACATTTATTATATATCTAACTATTTATGATTATTTGTTGTGTTTGTTTCATGATCCAAACAACATCTACGCCAAAAACTGTAATTAGTAAACAACAGGGTCGAACATGTACCTGTATTGCAAGCTCCCTTGTTGGACAGATGACAACGACACCAGTTCCATTTCGAGGAGCAAAGCAAGCATGATATAACAACTCGACTGCTGGGATAAGAAAGGCTAATGTTTTCCCAGAACCTGTTCTTGCAGCTCCAAGAACATCTTTTCCTTCCAAAAGTGGAGGAATTGACCTAGATTGAATCTGCAAATCATAATATACAAGTTAAAGACAGGAAGACAGGTTACAGATTCAATCGCATTAGTCGTATAGGTAAGATTTCAAGCCCAATTTTTACCTGAGTCATGTACTGGAAACCCATATCAAGAATAGCTTTCTTTGTTGGTTCGGATAAGGGCAAAGAAATAAATGAATCGCTACTCATGATTCCAGAGTCACCACCGCTTTTCTTCACCTTCTTCTTTGTCTTTGTCTCTGTCTCCTTTTCCGCCTTTTCTTCCATGTGCATACCCTCTTCGCCTTCTTCATCCTCATTATTATCGTCTGTCTCTGTGTTTTCCTTTTCTTCTTCGCTAGCTTTCGTCTCTTTCTTCTTTCTCTTCCTTTTCTTCTCTTTCACCGCTGTAACTTCCTCTTCCTTCTCACTGTCATTGATTTCTGCTACTTCCTGTGCTACCAGATCAGGCTCTTCCTCTCCACTGTTCTTCTTGTTCTTGTTCCTCTTTCGTTTCTTCTTGCTATTAGAACCCTCGCCATTTTCAATTTTGGAATTAGGGCTTTTCTCAAGAACCACCATAGCAGGCAACCACACCTTCACTGTTTAATCTCTGCAAATTTGTGTTCGTAACTTTGGGATGTTGCCGCTGTTTCGGCCTGTTGTTTTGGAGGCAATGAGAATAAGAATTAGGGTTTAAGGTGAGAGCGTGAGGGTTTGCTAACGGTAGCTTGGCGATGAGAAATATTAATAATGTTTTATAGAGTACAGAAATGGTCCCTATGGTTTGCTCCAATTCGCAAGTTTGGTCCAACCTATGAGAATTAGCTATCCCATAGGTACATCACGTTACTTAGGTGTCGTTTGTTTTTTCGTAGCAAAAATGTTTGAAGTCTGCGGACCACCTCTGCAACCATCTGTAGCAGAAGAGGGAGACTAAACGGTTGTAGCATGTAATAAAAACTATGTTTTTAACCTCTGTAAATTGCTGCAATAAGTTAAATAAGGTATAAAGATGTTTGAAGCAGATGATCAAGTGTTGTGCCACGTAACACACGTGCAATAGTTTTTAATTCAGAAGTCTTCTGAAAACAAACAGATACGGAGGGTCAAGTGTTGCGTTTGTGCTGTGCAGTCATCAATAAGTGGTCGGAAGTGGTTTTTTAAGAAAAACAAACATCTTATACTCCGTCAAAAACCATTACGTGGGCATTTTTGCCAATTCCTTTTTGTCTTCTTCCCAAATTCTATATCTTTGTAGGAATTGATCTCATAAGCTTTTAAATTTAGTTTCCTCCTCAATATAGCTTTTGAACTTAAACCCTTCCTAAAATCAACTATTGAAAACCAAATAATGGTGATATGTGTTTTGTGGACGCTTTGCAATTGTACACATATTATGTATTTATCTTGATCTAATTAGGAATTTTTGGGGTTGTCCGTCAAATGGTTCACGATGTTCGTTTATTGGTTGTTTTGACCCATCGATGTGTGTTAGGGGTGTCATTATCATCCCAAGATTATTGAGGGCAAGAAACAACTTGGAAGCAACATTAGCATCTACAAGGATTTACAATGCCCTATTTTTCTTATCGTAGATTTTTTTGAATCATTTTCTTCAAAATGGGTCATTGCAGCGATGTTATAAAATTTAAGTAGGTTTAACTTGTAAGATGTGTTGGTTCTTATGGTCAGAGTAATGGTACTAAAATGGTGTTGGTTTTGTTGGCATTAAGCCTTGCTTCTGAATATAATGTTTAAGTGTTAAATCATGGTTTCAATATAATGTTTTGTTTGGCACAAATGGTGTACAATGTGTTGGTTGTTTGTTGTGGAAATGGTATTAAATTGTAAATAACATAAGATCATAAACTTAAAACCATAAAACTGCACACACAAAAAACAAAAAACAAAAAACAAAATCATTAACACACTACTACAATAATCCATATCATAACACCACAAATACATTAAAATTATAAAAAGTGCAAGCATCAAAAGTTCTTAATGTTGTCGATACATGACTTGATCATGGATTGCTACTAGATGTATCATGTGGCTGCTTCAAGGCCTTGTTTTTATTAGGAAAGCATACAAACCATGAATATGATGAAATTGAAATCATACATGGATGATTGATGATGGTTCTTGGAGTTAATGATGGTCGACAACGGAGGTCATTGCTAGAGGCGGTAGTCGATGGTAGAGATTTTTTTAGGATGTAAAGGACTTTGAGGGCACTACGGGACCAACATAATATTTTAAATGTTTTTTAATGGGGTGATAATAAACATATAAAATTTTATAAATAAGAAATTGATAATGGTAATATAGCCATTTCATGATTGTAGGGACGACGCATACAAGTTTTAAACATATAATGGATAATTCGAGTTAATTTTCAAAAATAAGAACTAAACACGTATTTTCACACTTGAACCAATGATGAATTATATAATTTTCTCTTAAATTATTTTTTGCTACATAATCTTGAGCTAAGTGTGTATTCATACAAGCTCATACAACTTATTATGTCAGTAACATGTTGTAGCAGCAAGCATAATTTCAACAATCTACAAGCAAAAAGAAAGAAGAATCATAGTCTTTGGTAGAATGGTAGTTCACTAGTTTGGTGAAAAGGACATGGGAAGATACCAAATTTATGCTGACGAGAGCGAGAGTTAGAATAATGTTTATAATGTTATATCATTTGGTATAGTAAACAAAATTTTCTATGAAAAAAAAGCAAATACAAAATAACCATAACAGATATATCATATGGGTATATAGTGGTTGATATTATCTCGTAGGACCAAAGCTTATTTTAAAAACCTTTTTGGTTGTCCACAACATAGAGCATTACATAAGATGTGAATAAGGTGAACACCATTACCATAAACTCCATATAATGTTGTTGCGAAAGGAGAATACCACAACTAGCCCAATCCATTTTAGGATTTGGGCCCGAAACTCCCAAAAAACGACTCTTGACTATTTTTTCAAAAAGGTTGGACGGTATACTTGCATGGTAGGTGAAACGAAGCAGGAACCAAACTCTAAGTGCGGTTTAGTGATGACAAATTGGCCCGAAAACCCGAACCGAACTGAATTAAGCCCGAATAAGCAATTTGATTTAGGTTTCTATATTCGGTTCTCGGGTTCTTCTGTTCAGGTTACCCAAATAAGAGTTTATTCGATTCTAAATACCCGATCCGAATAAGTATTCCTCCTCCCCTTTCTTAGATCGACAGAAATCAAAATCACGATTCACACTTCTATCATCGTCGTTCATAACAGAAGAAAAAAAAAATTCCTACACTTGTTCTCGTCGTTTCAAAATCGACCAATCTTCTCATCTGTTTCCAAACTCGAAATCACTTTTGTTGATCCTTCCTTTTGTTTCAAACATTCAATAATCAACATTTCTTATTGTCTCTAAGGATTCACAAATTCCTACTTTGTATAGTCATAGAAAATTGAGTTCTAACTCAAGAAATTCAAGCAAGAAATTAATTATCATTATGTTAATCTACTATACAAACGTTATTCTTTCAATATATTGTTGTTTTATGTTAGTCTTTGAATGTTTTATGTTGATGTATAAAAGCACATTATTATTCTATTATTCGGGTTATAGAATCCGAATACGGTTTATTCAGTTTTTTCCGGTTATATTAGGTTCTTAATCATCTTATACATGTTATTCGGGTAATAACCAAACCGAACCGAACCCGTATTGGTTAATCGGTTCGGTTTTCGGTTCATGCAATTACCCTTATTCGATTTTCGGGTTATTTGGGTTAGGGTCAGTTCGTTCCGGTTTAGACTCGAATAACATTCATAATGCGGTTTATGGGTGAAAGCTCTCTTCCCCGCCATCTGTCCTCTCTTGATTGGATGCAACCATAAAACTATAATTGTAGTTGAGTTGCAGATAAGGAGTAAGGATTAAAGACATACATTATGCTTTTTTCAGAAAAATAAGATAAGGATTTTCTACACTTTTTTTTTCTTTCATTTGACCATCTTAGCCACTTCTATAAAGTAGATACTCATTTTACAAGTGCTCTGTTTGTGATTTATAAAATTAAAATATTTCCATAATTCTTAAATACTCATTTTACAAGTGCTCTGTTTGTGATTTATAAAATTAAAATATTTCCATAATTCTTAAAATATATTAATTTATGTGTTACGTTTGTTTGAAATTTATAACTTTAGTACTTAAGAGATGTTTGGGATTACTTTTTAAGCTTAAAAGTTTCTTTAAGTTCTTTTCGATTTAAACTTTTAAGAAACAAAAGCTAGAAATTGTTTTTAAAAAGTGTTTGAGTTGTATTTCTTGACTATTTCTTGACTTTTGAATGTAATTTAACTTTAAAAAGCTAAAAGTCACAAATAATCACACTTTCTCGTCTTTTGAAAACCATATTTTTCTTCTTTACAAAAATTATTTTGAAAAGAACTTTTATATCTCCCAAACATCTTTTTGACTTTTTAAAAAAGTTAAAAACCAAAAATCATTTCAAAAGTAATACCAAACACGCTCTTAACTATTTCTTACTTTTACAATTTTGCAATAAGGTATAATAAACTAATGTTTTAAAAAAACCCCATAATATTCAGCTACTAACATTCATCTAAAAAAACCGACCATGTTTTTTTGACCAAATTCTAGCCAAACCGGATTTGTTCAAGTTCAACCCCATAATATGATTCGATACAAATGATAATTCTGTGGAGCAACATTGCTTTTCACTACAAATCAAATGACAATGAGTACCTAAGTACTCCATTTTAACACATGCACTAGGTTAAAACAATTTATATTTTTACGCAACAAAATGATGTTTTAGACGAAATATATGTAACATTGTAATATAATATGGTGCTTCTTACCTCATGACGTGGCACTAGCATTCAATGAAGACAATATACAACCGTTTTTCAAATTAGAGCCAAAATATGCGACAACGTAATTGGAGTTGCAACTGGGTTAAATGATTTGCATATTTGTTCCGAAAAACAACTTTGTTGCATAACTGAAAAAAGATGAACCCTTGTTGCATAAACAAACATTCAACCCTAACTAACATTGGGGGAAAATTAAATCAGTCACAACGTATTATATGAAAATAAAACACAAACCATCTTTGCTACCCTCCCCCCCTTCTTCTTTCTCAAAAGTTATTTACATACCAATGCAATGCAGTGGCTCCTTAATCCATGAGCTTCCTTAAAAAGACATCCAAACTTAAATTATCTACAAATACCATATTAAATGGTCAGAAAAAGTATATTGGTTAATCACTACAGAAAAAAAAAAAAAAAAGTGCTTTTCCATATTTTGACCTAAACATATTGAAATGATGAGATCTAACCTTGGGGAAAAGAAGCATGCATAAAGTCAAACAAGCTTTAATCTAAAGCAACTAGCAAAAACTACTTCACATAGATGATGTCATCATCATCATCATCCTCCCATTCTTCATTGTCATAATTTGGATCGGTTGACTCATCTTGGTCAACCGTTGGATCCTGTGTGGTCTTCTTCTCACCCTTTATCTTATCTAATATAGCAATCACCTAAAAATACAAATCAGTTAGAATTATTAATTATACATACATAATTACATATATATATATATATATATATATATATATATATATATATATATACATATTTCTTACCCTGCTTCCTCTCTCTATAGATTCATCTTCAATAAAACGTATCTCAGGGGTAAGTCGTAATTTCATACGCTTACCCAATTGACCACGTACGTATTTTGCTTTTGACTTCAACCCAGAAAGGGCAACCTCTTTTCCTCTTTCATCACCAAAAACAGATACATATACCTTAACCACCTATAAGAGAGAATAACCATAATCATTAAACCCAACATTATATGCTAAATCCATCAACACATAAACCGTGAATACTAAAAAACTAACAAAGCCTGTTAAATTAAAACAACTCACAAGTCACAAATAACAAAGGTTTTTACAAAAAGAAGACAATCATATTCATCAAGGAAAAGAAGTAAACAAATCTTAAGAAGCATGTATTGTATATTAGCTTGATTGATCTCAAGAATGAGCAGCAAAAGTAAGACTCTTTATGATCTTGGTCAACAGAATAAGTAGTTCAGAAAACTCGAGCTACAGTTAGGCCATTGGTAACAAGAATAACCATTCAGCAGTGGCAGACATACAACAATTCATAAACATAATGTTGTCATTTAATAACACCAATGTAGCTTAAAGTTAGTGAACTGAAAATGAGATACCAAGAACAGCAATTAACTCAATGACATGCGAAGGATTTGGAGAAAAACAAGAATACTAAATAAAAATCCAAGATCAAACCGCTAGGGTTGGTTCATAGTCAACATATAAATTTGCAAAATAAAAAGCCTCACTTATTGACTCTTAACGTCAATTCTATACCTTTCAGATTTATATTTACTGCTTTAATTTGAAAATTTTCCCTAGAGAGTGACACATAAACCTCAATTCTTGGTACATAAGGTTTAACAAGTAACATAGTTATCACATTCCTTGTTCGAAACATATCAATCACGAAGGTAAAATTAGGCAATTAGACCTCAAAAGTATCATCACCTATAATGTTACCTGTAAATCCGATGAGACTTCAACATCACTGATGGTAGTAAGAGATGACAGATACCGGTCAGCACCGAGGGCAGCTTCGGGGAGAATAGCGTACTGTAAAACCTGGTCGGTCAGCAACATATCAGATAGCTCTCTCTGTATCTGCTTCGCCACCATTTTCACCCTCCTCTCCTTCGCCATACATATAACCACCTTATTTCTACTGCTAGTTGTACTCCCGTATGGCGAAAACGTCAACGTATAACCAAATTTCGCCGCTGGAAATCGAATCGATCTCGGTAACGATGGTACGAAGCTCGACAAAGAGCAGCATGTTGTGTTGGTAGTCAGCGGAGGAGGACGGTGGTGATTGGTGGTAACGATAGACTGCGGCATCACAGAAGAAATCGTCTCCGTCGCTTCTGGAGAAGAAGAGGATACGAAAGGGAGGAAGAGGCTCTGCGAGAAAGAATATCCTTTTGGCGGAAATTTTGGGGTATGGTTGCAGATTGGTCCTTAAAGATTGGAAAATGTTGCACATTTTAGTTTCGGGATAAAATTATAAAACAACAATAGATTTTTTATTCTGTCCAACTTAAATCGCCCTTCTATGGTTCTATTCCATTCTTTTCTTTTCATACATACATACATACTTTAAAGTTAACAAGAGGTTGAATTTTATAGTTATGTCATCATCATATTTGTTTAATACAACATTATTAATCCGTTTAGTATTTGACATCATAAAAATATAAACAATACTTAACCATTTATAAAGGGTATTAATTAAACATTAATATGGTATAGTTATAAGAACAATAATCAGAAGGCTTAATGGTTTTGGATGATGACATGGTAAGTACTCTCCAATAACCAACCCAAATTCAATCTCAAGGCACATTAGGGTTTGCTAGGAGAAGGTATGATGTGGTTCACAACGGGACTTAATTGCTAGATGAGATCCCTCCCCCATAACCTTGAATTACATGAAAGACGCTACGGTCAGTGGGTAAACAATAGTTGTATATTTATAAGTAACGTTCAGCTTGAGAATGCCATTATACTTTATAAAATAGTTAACATTGGTAAAATTATATCAGAACATCTCAAAAGATTTAAAACATCTTTAAAACTACGATGTGTTTATGATATATGAGGGATATCCAATGTCATGTTGAGTAGCTAACTCAGTTGTGTAACAACGATTTGGCTAAATGGATTCCGTAACACTCCACCGGCAAACTCACAGCCTCTCAAATACATACATCAATCAACACATATAAGAAACACATTTATTGTTTCAAAAGAAAAAAAAAACAATTTCTAACATTTTTAAGAAAAAAACAAACTTGTTGTCTTGGTCGACTACGACAACGTTATAGAAAGAAGGAAGTGACATGAAAGCTAGCGATGGTGGCAAGGAATGTTGCATGCAGCCAATGTGTAGAGGAGAAGGAAGCACGAGACAATCGGAGAAGCATTAGACATGAGAGAGAAAATAGGCGAAAGCAACACTCATTATTTATTTATTATTATTTTTTTACAATACGGATGATTCAAAGATAGGGTGAACGTTGAATCGCTAAAAGTGTGATTAATCGTTCAAAGACTCATTATAAACTTACCAAACATCCTAATTAAATGGTTAATAGGTGAAGAAACGACCATTTAATAGGGAATACGGCGTGTTTTAATCGTTTAATGAAAATATAAGGGGTAAAAGTCTTATAAAGTGATTGTGTAAGGGGGTAATGTACAAGTATTATCTTTATACTTAGAAGAGATACATCTTACATGCTCGTCGCTATAGTTTATCGAAAATTGTCATTTTGGTCAAAAAAATATTTTGATTAGTACCAGTGTTCCAAAATTTTTATTTTGTTGCGGCTTTGGTCCAATCTATTTTAATTTTTTTCAAAATGTCCGATTTGCACTTGTTAGTATGATTTATCTTTTTTCTTATTTGTTTTTCTGACTTTTATATTTAAAAAAAAATCAAGAAAATAAAATAAAAATAAATCTATCTATCTCTCCTGATTTTTAAGATTAAAAAAAACCAAAAAAATCTCTCTCTCACTCACACACACACTCTCTTTCTCTCATGATTTTTAGATTAAAAAACAAGAAAATAAAAATAAAAATAAATCTCTCTCTTTCTCCTTTTCTCTCTCTCTCTCTCTCTCTCTCTCTCTCTCTCTCTATATATATATATATATATATATATATATATATATATATATATATATATATATATATCAAGTCGTCGTCTGCCTCCCACTTCTAAAACTTTAACACCATTAATCTTCTTTGGTTTTAGTGTGTGTATGAAAATCAAAAGAAATTTAGCCTCAAACCATGAATATTTTCCTCTCATCCCTCTTGCATCTGAACTTTGGCATCTCCCCATTCCGCCACCATCACATTCATTCATCAAGTTGGAGATATTCATAGCGACATTTGATTCAAATCCCTCGTGTATCTGACTCAAATTCACCGAGGAACTGTGCTTCTTCATCTACTTTCTTCTTCATCTGCTACTCCCTCGAACACAGATCTGAGATGTTCATGGCGACTAGGATTTCATGGATGTCATCGTTGGAGATAGACGAAGCCACCACCGCCTCTACAAACTCAAGCAAACCTAGATCTGGTGACGAACAAATCCACTGGTGGAGAAGATGATGGGTTGTAGGTTGTGATGGAGGGATAAGGGTGGAGAAGATGGTAAGTGGTGTTTGGTTGTGTCCGACGGTAGTATATTAGCCACTGCCATTGATTTGGCTGAAATTGGTGGGATTAGGGTTGATTTGGTTTAGAGTTCGAGTTCTTTGTATAGCTGATATCTCATTGTTGTTTTTTCCAATGCTTCCACCTTTACAATGAGCTCGAATTGGCTGTAAATCGATTTTAATGGTGGGTTGAAGCCGATTGGTTTTTCTATTCAGGTTACTGATCTTTCTTACAATCATATTTCAAGGGAGAAACCAAATGCTATCTAATGGATCCTGTTAAATGAGTGATGTTTCTTGATTGGTGATGTTTCTTGATCGATCCCACACACAAATCAATTACACATTTGTTTTCTATTTTATAGTTCTAGAAATAATTTTGAAGAACATATGATTTCATATTCATTTTCTGGGTTTTTTTGGTTCTTCACATTCGATTTTAGGATTTTTGGTTTATTTAGTTCCATAAATGTTTCAGATTTATGAGTTTGTTTGTTTTGTATATATGTATTTTTTTTTTGAAGAACTTTAGAATTTTGGAGAGAGAGAGAGAGAGAGAGAGAGAGAGAGATTTTTATTTTTTAGTTTTTTTAATCTGAAAACCAGAAAAACAATTAAGAAAAAAAAAGGAAAATCATATTATCAAGGGTAAATCCATCATTTAATTAAAATGAATCATCAAACAAACAACAAAATAAAAACTTTAGAGCTTTGTACTAGTGTAAACATTTTTCCACAAAGACATAATTTTTAGCAAATCAAGTCGAGTCTCTTATTTATCGTCGCTGCGTAAACCCTTCTAAAACCTCTCACGGCGGCCGCCGCTCTGTCATCTAATATAATTGAGGTATGTTTGTTTCGATTCATGAATTCAATCAATTGTTCATATTTCAAAAACTCGAATTGACCAATATACCCCATGACCTAATAAACCTTATACAACAACACATATCACATACGCCTCATTCTATCGATCGTTGCTGCTCCAGTGCTCCTGTCGTTGCCTCCTCAAGCTAACCCTCCCTGCTCGCCGCCGTGAGCCATCTCCTCCCCACCAGCCGGAGATCGTCGCAGCCCATAGCAACACCGTAGACCTTCGACCCCACAGCCAAGGTTCATGCCTGTTCCTGCTGTCCGCATTCGTCTTTCATTTCCGGCTGTCTGCTTTCATTCGTCTCTTTTTCGATTTTTTTTGTGCTGCTGTCAATCTTCCTTGTTTTCCCTGGTATCTGTTAGATTATTTTTCTGGTTATCTGAATTTATCAATTGATGCATAACAAACTCATAAAAGAGCTGTAAAATAGAAACATTTGATTTGAAAGTAGTTTCTTCCTTCTGTTTGCATTCGTCTTTATTTTTACCTGTGAATATGAAACAAGAACTGATTTTGAATGAAACACCGAGCAGTTTGAAGGATTATGTGAGTTTGAAGAATTACAAAGGCCAATTGTGTATGTGTTTGTGCTTCAATGATCAATTGAACCTAGATGTTAAATCTGTAACAGTAGCACCAATGGTTATGTTCAATTTTGTTATTGCCACGCCTATGCATGCCTCCTTTTGTACTAACCACAAATTGCAATTAATCAGAGAATTGTGTTACTTAATTACAACAAGGAGACAAAGCTTATCGATTTTTGGCATTATTCTATCAGACTGCAGCCAGTTAGGTGCTGTTTGTTTTTTTGGAAAAAACCTCTTCAAACCTCTTACTGCTGCGCGGCGCAGCACACGCGCAACACTTTTCATCTCGCAGCTGTTTGTTTTTTAGAAGTCTTTTGAGTCAAAAACCTCTGCGCATGCTCTGTTTGGCGCAGCACTTGTACTGCCTCTTCTAACCTCTTCTAACCTATTCTTCTTCTTTTTTTATTGCTGAAATTTTGATTATATGTTATTAAAATTTTATTTCACATTTTTTTTTCCGTTTTTTTTTTCGTTTATTCTTATTGAATTTATTTTTCATTTTTTTATATTCAATAATGATAATTTCTTGAAGAAATATCATTATTTTTTACTAAAATATCTTTATTTTTTGTTGAAATATCATTCTTTTTTACTGAAATATCATTAATTTTTACCGAAATGTTATACATTATTAAATTTTACGTATTAAAAAGCTATTTTCGGTTTATAAAATTAGTTTATTTTAATTTTTTAATATCTGCAGCAGTATGCAGATGTTAAAAAAACAAACAAACTTCTTATTATAGTCTGCAGCTGTTTGGTCCACCTCTTCTACTGCAGAGGGTTGCAGAGGTGGTCCGCAGACTTCATGAATTTTTGCTTCAGAAAATCAAACAGCACCTTAGTGTTTCAGGTAGAATCAGAAAATTTTGTGCAAAACCATCAACTTTCTAATCTCATATCTGTTCAAGATGTAAGTGACTTTGTAACAAAGTAACGTTTCTTCAAGAATCAGAAAACGAGGGTAGATTTTGTAAAACTGTACAACTTAATGGGTCCTTTTTAACAACTCACTTTTTTATATGTATATTTTTTATTTTAGGAAATAACGAGGAAAAGAAAGAGGACTTGGAGGAAGGTTCCGAGGAGGGAAGTGAGCAAGAAGACATCATGGATGAGCATTTGAGTAATACAATTTATTTTTAAAATGTATTTAGGTTCGATGTTCGTTTGCTATTTTTGGAAATTTGGATTCGCTTCCATTTGTGTGATATTATGTGAAATATATATGTTTTTTTTTTTTTCTTATTTATTTATTTATCAGTTTCATTTGGCAAATGGGCAATTGGGCATGTGAAAATGTTTTATGGATCCAACACTATATCTCTT